ACCAGGGCCGTAGCGAGGGGGGTATTGGGGGGGGGGGGGGGTTAACCCCACCACAAAATTAGTAATAAAAAGCATCACAAAATTAGTAATATTCCGAAGTTTTGTTGGATGTTGTAAAATGCGGATAATATAGCCTTGCGAAGTTAAGTTTGCCATTTTTCAGTCATTTTGCATTACAAACGGGAAATTGATAATCAGATGATCAAACTGTCATTATCAATTTCCATTTGTAATACAATGACTGAAAAACGGCAAACTTCGCAAGGCTATATTATCCGCATTTTACAACATTTCGCAACGAACTTCGGAATATTACTAATTTTGTGATGCTCTTTCAAGCTGTGATGAAATTTTTGTTTAGGCTAGCTTGTCTAGATCAAAATTTCACTCATAAGGGGAAAGGTCTATTGATTAATTTTAAAGCGGCTACATTATCCATGACAAACCGCAAAGAATCATATTATCTATACTTTTTCCTGCAATATATAGTTAATTAAATACGCCTTCGCCCATTTAGTTCTACTAAATTGTAAACAAATTGTAAATTTCGGCATACTAAAAGTCTATTAACAACTCGAACCGACTTGACCACGCAGCTCAGTTGGCAGAACATTGGACTAGTATCCCAAAGGTCGCGGGTTCGACTCCCACCGTGGCCAAGCACACTTTTTCAGCTTGCCTGCTGTGGATGCATACTCAGAGTATTAAACGTACGTCACAAATATCATACTAAAACTCCGTTTTCTGACCATCAGAATTCTGTCATAACTTCCCCAAAGTCCAGGAAATGGCATTTCAGAGAATCTAAATTTAAAAATTTCCTCGGGCCTTCGGCCCTCGTTCCCAGCCCTTCGGCCCTCGTTCCCAGCCCCCAATAAAAAAGAGCTTCCTACGGCACTGCAAGCTTCTGTAATATGTCTTTGCGTAAACTATGTGTATTTTTGTTTGTAAATTGCATCTTCATTTTCCGGATAGCAAACACCTTCGTGGCTTCGTATGCCATGAAATATTCGGAAATTTTCTTCGTCATTCGGA